TGACAACTCTGCTGGCCACCAGCGAGCCACAACATTGCTAAACTAATGGTTGTAAGTCAAGGACTACCTGTACAGGAGAGGTTTTATCACAACCTTATTCTAGACTGGCTTTTTGAAAAAACTTCCCATTTGAACATTTCACCTCAAAAAACATCAATAGCACATATTATCAGGTCTTTCTCTACATAAAAAGGAACAATGACCTATCTGAAGGCCTCTTTTGCCCCACCTCTGTGCATTGTGCATAATGTTTTTCAAAACTATCCAAATTACTAAGAACAGAGTTAGGTGTTGTGCCACTTCTATATCAGATTTCAGCGGAACCCAAAGAAGCCCAGCGTGACAGAATGAGATCAGTTCCCATTTGTGATCCTCTCCTCGTCTTTTACCTTAATCAAGTTTTGGAACTTCTTGCTTTGCTGCAGCAACTCCTTATAGTAGCTCACAGCATCACTGTGGCTGCTGCAATAAATGCCATATTTCTCCTTCAATTTATCTCCCGTTTTTCCTGAAAACTAAATAAGGAAAGGAAAAGACAGTCAGGAACAACTAACATTTGGGAGATAAACAAGTTGCATCAAGCACACTCTGGTGTATCTGGAGAAAGATATCACAGTTCAACATTGTTATGTATATCATGGATCTCAACTCAAAAGGAAAACAAAAAATGGTCAGAATGGGGTATTGACAATTGAGTAATTTCCAAAGTAGCGCATGACACAGTCCTGAGAGAGAAAATGCAGGTGAACAGAGTAATAAAGCAGTCATTCATCACTACGGGGAGTTTATATTTTAGTAGACACAGAGAGAATGCATCTAACTCAGTATTATCTCTGCTGACAAGAATCAAAAATAGAAAACAGCCTTTTTCCTCAACTTGCCACTTGGAATACATTTATCTGCAGTTCACATGCAAAGCTAGTGGCTCTAATATGCATCTAGGAATTGTAGCATTTTCCCTCAGAAATATCATGGAAGCCCACTGGCCTATTTTCCAGGTGAAAGCCTGCTCAAAAAGGCAAAATTCCCCCTCTGAACTAAATACTGTAAGTGCTTTGCATTTTAGGATGACCCCCTGCCCATCCAAACCCTATTCCATAAGCGAAACCTACACCTATGTGCTCACCTGTTGCACCAGGATGTCCCCAATGTTCTGGATGATATAGTTGCATTCACTACCTTCTTCCAAAGACTCCTTCCGGCGTTCCTTCAGCTGGAAGAGGAAGGCTCTGTGGAGCTCCAGTAAATCGTCCACGCACGGGAAAAGGCGGTGGATGTCCGAATTGCTGAACTGCAGCTCCTCTCGCATGGCTTGGGAGTAGACCTTCAACATGATCTTCAGAGTCCGGACATGGTGCATCTCTGTCCTCATCAACTCTAAAGGGGGAAGACATTGACATCAAGCCTCTCTGACTGGCCAGGGACAGACCCCACCAAGAAAGCCAACCACTCAACACAGATTTCTTTACCATCTTGCCCACTTGCAAAAAAAAAAGAGGAGATCATACCAGACCACAATCAATAGTATATGTCCAATTTCAAGACAAGCACTAGCTTCAGGTCAAAATTTTGCCTACACGTGAACGACAGCAGCAGCAGAGAAAATACTGTCAATTAGGTTTGGTGAAGAAGAGGCAGAAAAGCTTACCATATATGACATCTTGCCTTTTAATAACGTCCCGCTCCTGCTGCTTCACATAGGACTGCTCTACTGCCAGGCTCCAAGACTGAGCAGCAAACTCCCGAGCGTCTGTCTCCAGTTCATTCCTCAAGGAGGCAAACTGAACATCTGGAAGGGGAAGAGTCACAGCTCAGATGAGAACATGGGTATATCAGTGGTGGGTTGCTCTTATCATCGCTACTGGTATGCTGCTCATGGGAAACGCATCCCGTTCATGCAATACACCGCCCCTGCAACACCCAGCTGCTTGTTGAGGCTCGTGCAGGTGCCACAAGCTGTGCGCATGTGCACAATTGGTCAGTTGCTTTAAAAACAGGTATAGAACACGGGCGAGTGGTCCAAATGAGCCACCGTACTGATATGCTGTCAGCTGCTCCCGGCTACTACCGGTATGGCCGTACCGTACCGGAGGAACACACAACTGGGGTATATGTATTCAGAGAATGCCATTATTGGGGGGGGGGGAAATCAATGCTATTATCACTGGAATGGAAATCTAAAGGACTGCATCATAATTCTTAATTGGTGAAAGGTCAAATGCTCAAAAAAGTTTTTATAAAATGTACACTGCGCAATGCAATGCCCAGGATGCATTATGGATAAAGGATCATTAGAGCTCTCATAGATGTAGATAGTGAGAGGTGAAGAGAAGATGCAGCAAAAGAACCAAAAGGAACCTTTTGAAGTCAGCAAAAACATCCACCTTGTTGCTATAAAAACTTACAACTGTCGTAGTACCCGAACTCCGGGGTGAAATCCATTTACCTTTGCTACCAGCTTGGATGCATAGAGCATGAAAAAGGTAAGGTGCACAAATAGCAAGGGGGAGAATCCACTGTGCTGTGCGATTTATATTAGCTAGAAAGCATGAAATCCTGTTTTCTAACTAATATAAATAGTGTGTCACAGCTGATCGTCGGAAAAACCAGTTCACCTGAACCAGTTTCATTTATTTTACTACTGGTTCGGGCAAACCAATATCATTTTTACTACCGGTCTGAACTGGTAGAATTCCACCCTTGCCCTAACTACTAAAAAATATTCACTCAGTGCAAAATGCACATTTGAATTTATCATTACACATTGGAGGGGAGGGCTGCCCAAGAGTTAACTTAGGGCATCTGACTTCAGAAGTGGTCCACCTGCAAGATTCCAGCAGGCAAAAAAAACAAGGTGGCTGTGCTGTCTTCAAGTTGCTTTTGGGGTGTTTTGCTGAGGCATCTGTGTGGTCACCACATAAAACAAAAACATTGAGTTAGACAGACATCTAACTATTGGTACGGTTCATCAGCCACGCTCTTCACACCAAAAGCTCTTGGACAAGAAAGAAAATGAAGGAAGGAATGGCATAGGCAATGGGCCCAAGGGCAAGACTCTGGCAAACTGGATTCAAATTCTAGCTTGAGTTGTCTTGCAGATCTTCTTGCCGTTTCAATTCCCTGCTACAGGTGTGGTGGAAAATGAAGGGTTCTAACCTAGAAACAGGCCATTTCAAATATTCCAGAAGTATTCTGAATAAGAGAATACTTGGCGCAGTGACAGGCTAATTCACTGCTCACTCCAGGAGTTCGAGTTTCACCGAGGCAACTGGTTAAGGTTGACTCAGCCTTCCATCCTTCTGAGGTCAGTAAAATGAGGACCCAGATTGTTGAAGGCAATATGCTAACTCTGCAAACCGCTTAGAGAAGGCTATAAAGCACTATGAAGCGGTATATAAGTATAAGTGCTATTGCTATTGCTATTCTAACTTTGAAAAGGGCTTATTCTGAGATCAGGTGACTTCTGGAAGAACCAGAGCTGCCCAATCTGTTGCACAAACCTGTTCTTTGTTAACTCCAGCAGTAAACTCCTCTGAGAGATGAGACAGACTCATCTGGGTCGGATTCTTGATGACTTTATAGGCAAGGGCTCTCTATGCCACCCTGTCAAGCACAGCTGCTTTCATTTGTTGGATGTTCAACTTTTCATCAGATTTCATCTTATCAAGCCAGCATGTTCTTTGCTTGCTCCTTCTTCTTGTTCCACTAATCATTCCTAGCATCCTTGCATTCTCCAAAAAACATAGAATAATGGAGTTGGAAGGGACTTTGGAGGTCATTTAGCCCAACTCCCTACAGGAGGAGAATCTATACCATTTCAGATAGGTGGCTGTCCACTTTCTTCTTAAAAGTCTGAAGTGATGCAGCATTCACAACTTCTGGAGGCATGCTGTTCCACTGTTAACTATTCTAATGATTATGAAATTTCTCTTAGTTCTAGGTTGTTCTCTCCTTGATTAGTTTCCATCTATTGGTTCTTGATGTGCCCTTTGGTGCTTTGGTAAATAATCCCCCCTCATCTTTGTGACAGTCCCTCAAATATTGGAACGCTGCTATTATGTCACCCTAATCCTCCTTTTTATTAAACATACCCAATTCCAGCAACTGTTTTTTATATGTTTTAGCCTCCAGTTCCCGAATCATCTTTGTTGCTCTTCTCTGCACTCTTTCTAGAGTCTCAACATGTTTTGTTTTGTTTTTATATTGTGGTGTCTAGACTGGATGCTGTATTTCAAGTACGGCCATACTAAGGCTTTGTTATTAAGGACAAGACTGCCAGATCTTCAGTATAACTTTACAGAAGATGGGAATCCCATCTTCTTTATTGATGTCGAATGACTTTACACTTTACATGACATGGCCAAAGGAAATCTTGGTCTTGTGATTTTAGCTGCTAGGGATGTGACTGATTTTATACGATTTAACATGAGAAGCTCCTTACCTTCCACAAAAACTGATTCCGTGGTGGATGGTGCCAGTGAGACAACATCTTCAGAGGCTGGTTTCTGTTTCATGAAGCCAGAATCCCCTTCATCCATCTCTCCCCCAGTGAGTCTGAATAGTCAAAGGAAAACATTGAAGCAGGTCAGCTCTTGCTGCAGGACTGAGTCCTCGCACAAGCTATTTTCTTATTAGGCTGTTTCTTATTCTGATGAATGCAGCCTGGGCCAAATATTTTCCAGTGAACAACTTAAGAAGACCAGCAGTCCTGAAGTACACTTGTGCTTAGTTTGGAAAGGCATCTTGAGATGGTCGAGGAAGAATAGGGATGCTGCTAGTGCCGAGTGCTGCTGTAGCGGCATGAGAAAATAGTGACAGCACTCACGGCTATTAAAGAATGAACTCAAAAAGTCAAAGATCCATGGAAGGGCTATACTTAGGAAGCTGCCAATAAATGTCTGATAATTACAGAAGCAGAAGAAAAGGGGCAGCAAAGCCATGGATCATCTTCTAGTGCTGACGGCTAAAATAGTTTCCTTCCTCATGCTTTATGCAATTGAAGCTTTATGCAATTAAAGCTCTCCACATTTATAGTGTTTAAAACCCCACAGCAGACAAGGATTTATAAAACCATCATGCAGAAGGTCCATGGGAAAATGAATCTGATCAAAATCCATCTGACAAAGATGAGATGTACTAAAACTAATTTTATGGATATTGTTTGTCGATAAATTTAGAATTCCCTCCCTCTTGATTCCCAGCTCAACAGGTTGTTGTTCTGATCTAGCGGCTATGTCTATAAAGCTGATTATTTGATAATCCAAATTCTTCCACTGAATCCCCCCCAAAGACTGGGAGCCACTGTTATTTTCTGACTCAATTAGAACAAAAATCTGAAATAGCATATTTCCTTCAGCAAGCTGAACAGACAAAATTCATATCTACACTTGGCAGAAATGAAAAAAACAAAACAAAACCACAACCTGTATAACTGCCCCTGTGGATGCCCACTCATGCATGGATTTACGTATGTTCTGCAAAATGACAATATGAAATTGCACTGCAGTTAAGCTAATTCTCCCCCACACACACACTCCATAAGCCCAGACTTTCCATTAAAATCATGGAAAATACATCAAGACTGAGTTTGTGTTTGAGAGAAAAGTAAGTCGAGAGTCCAGCACTGAAACCCGAGCTCTGATTTTTGTTTTTGGTTTTTTTTCAGAAGAAAAATAGAAAAAATAAAAAGTGAGGCACTTGTGAAAGATGAGCAGCTATTTCTTCCCAGGCAGGATAAGACCAGATTCCAGATAAGAATTGCAAAAAGCAGCAATTTGTATCCAGCAAAGTACCTACTCACCCGAGCTTACCAACAGCCCCAGCAGAGGCGATGCTTAGCTGCGACGGCAAACTTCCCCTCTGCGCAATTGTCATGCCGAGGTTCTGGGGCAAGCCAGGGGTTCTGCCATCCGGGCCCAAGAGGGCCCTGCTAGTGTGCTCTTTGAGCGAGGTAGCTATAGAAGGAAAGACAGAGTTGGTACTCAGGAATCGGGGAGTAAACTGGAGGTTGCTTTTTTGCAACCCTCGGCTCTCTGAGCGAGTCTGGAGAACCGACATGATCTTGGAGGTCAGGCGCTCATTTTCCAGAAAGATCGTCTCATTCCACTTGTTGGAAAATGAGCCACAGAACAGCAGCTCCGAGTGAGCTGGGAGGACTGACTTGCTGCTGCCACTGCCCTTGGAGTTAGCATTTCCCATGTTTGCAAAGTGGCTGCGAAATTGCCTGAGCACGCCCCACTTATATATCTGTCTCCCCCTGTGATCCTTCTAGAAATGTCCAGATATGTAAAAGCTGTCACTCCACAACGCCGTATTGGTTAATCAGCAGCAGGTCAGAAAGGGAGAAAATCAAGTCCCTACTGCGTCCTCAATCGAAATGTGGAAATTGCAAAGTATCTTTTTAGCAAACAGAGACAGGGCACAAATCAAACATTTACAGAAACATAACTGTTCTCACTTTTCAACGGAAGAGAGAAAATGACTTGCACCGAAGCAAAATTTATCTGAGACAGACAAAGTGGAAGAAAGAGGCGCTCAGTTGTTGCTTCTTCCCCTACATGCTTGTTGGTTCAAGTGCCATAATTTATAACATTATGCACATGGGTCCTAAACTAACAAATTAATCAGATCTAATGATCAAGGCATACGTTCTCCAAACAGATTCATTTTGCAGAATATATAAGACACTCAAGACACCAAACTATCGTTAATCTATATGTCAGGGTTCCAAATAGCATCCAAAAGTAAATCAGAGTCCAAGGCAAAGTATTGCTCAAAGTTCCAATTTACTAAGAGA